TTGGTATTCTAATTCCTGAAAAACTAACCCATCAGAAATCTATCTTTTTTACACATTATATCCTCACACAATTCTTAAAATTCCAAATTTATCATCTACTTTAACCCAACAACAAGGGCATTTTAGTAATCAAATTGGTTTCAATTATGATTTATGCTAATTTAGTAAACAACTTATAAGGAATCAGTACCACTCATACCCTTGATTACAGATGATTTAGTAAACAACTTCAATAGGAATCCAAATTCTGACTCTCCTCAATCCAACTCCTTCTCAATTCAATTCCCCCTCATACGATTACGGATTAGTAAACATGACTAACCTCATCCTATTAACATTGAGTGTGTCTGTAGCGAAATTATATAGTGGGGGTGCCATATATGGACCTTCATATTAACCACATTATCATTTTATTAAAAAAACACCAATAACAGTAGAAAGTTAAGAAACCTTACAAGGACTTTATAAGGAGTTCCGTCACTCTGCCAATTGCCAAATGATTTAGGTGTTGGAACCTCAACTTTTTTCAGAAACCCTGTAAATTTTTGCATTTTTTATTGGTGCCAACTATGTGAAAAATAAAATTTTGGGCTGGTGAAAAATTGGAGTTTTTTGTAACTTTGATTTTCTTTTTTGTGCATATTAAGCTGAATCATTTGGAGGTTATTTTAATTTATTGGAAGATTTTAAAAATAAATATCTTTTGAGCTCGAAGTGGTGAAAAATGGGAGTTTTTAGTGACTTAGAAATGTTTTGGAAATTAAGTTGAATTATTTGGAGGTTATAATTTATTGGAAGTGTTAGAAAAATATTTGGAAATTTTTTTAGGTCATTTGGTGAAATTGAGGTTACATAAAAATACAGAAAGAATACGAGTCTGAAGCATTTTTTGGGGCATAATAGAAAATATCGTATCATAGCATTTTTAAAGATTTTCGAAACCGATCTTTGAAAGTAAAATGGTCTTCGAAAAATTCAACCTTAAGATGTGTTAAAATCCTCAATTTATTTGAACTTCCTTCTTAAGTTTTAGATCTCGATCATTACATTCCTTGTAACTCTAACTCTTCCAGGCATATTCTCTACTTTCATTTGAATTTCCTTCTAAAGGTTTGTTGTTCTAGAAATTCTTGAAAGTTGTATCTTCAAACTACTCATTGAGTCTTACCTTATATTTTAGTTCCTCAATTGTAAACAAGATGAATCCTTGCCGATAAACATGTGTTCAACCAAGCAACAATCAAATCATTTCGCAACATTTGGTTGTGATTGTGGAAGTTACAATGGTTATGATGGAAAGGAATAAGAATGCTGGTAATCAACAACTTGGAAACCAGCAAAGTGAGCAAGGGAAGAACAATAGTGTGAGGGTCGATATTTGGACCGATTTATGAAACTGAGGAGATGTAATGGAAGTTCTTAGGCATAGGTTTGTATTAACTATTAAGCATATACAAAACAACTTGGAATATCAATTCTCCACCGAAGTATCATGTTTGGTTACCGACCTGGCGACCCATGTTAGATTTTCTTTATAAGTTCATGATCTTTCACACATCCTGAAATATATAAAAGACATACATGGCGTAATCTTCCTTAAGTACACGATATCTAGATTCATCCAATTGCAGCAGCAGCGGCATGAGCAAAAGATGCCAATGGCTTAAGACTTTTGCTCTCTCTCCTTAAGGCCCAACAAGCAACGGTTCACGCAAAAGGAAATAAATAGGACCCCTTTAATTGGTTTCAAAACTTTCCTTATTTCACAAAGTTTTGGGCCTTAAGGTATAACCTAATTTAAACTCCTTTCAAATATGATATAATTTAGTATCTAGTGCACCGATCTAAATAGGAAAATAACAACCCACACGTTGGAGGATGAAATTGACAAATGATGGGACTGGGACATCGTGAAACACCATAAGGGTGAAGTTGCAAACATGACGATCTAGGAACAATTTGAGCAATTACAATCAGTACTTTCCTATCGAGCAGAACAAGCTATTTGGAAATTGCGGTTTTACACATGTAAGAGATAATCAATACCCCTTTGAGTAGTTTATGTCTTGAGTAAATCTCAAGGGGGAGTTCATAGCAAATTTCAGGGCCTGACAATTACTATATGCCAAGCTAAAAGTGACATAAATAGTAATATAGTATCTAACTGGGACTATAGTGGTGGAATCAATTAACTTAATTCTATGTTGGAGCCATGCTAGAGTTGACCCTACTGTTGTATATAGATATACTAATACGAGCTATTAAGAAACATAGCACCATACACAAAGTGAAACCCTTTAGTTTTTTTGTGCTAGAATGAAGTTTCAATTAACATCATCTTTATAAGTTACAAAAAAATAAAATCCTACATCGGGTGACATACGAACAAAAAAAAGAAGTACCAAACACTAAGTGAAGCCTATTAGAGCTAAGCCAAAATTGACACATCGTTACATGCAAAAAAGAGTGGAGCCAAGAGTGGAAGGTAACTTCTAGAACAGGTCTTAGTGGAAGAAACCTGAGCCAAAGAACTTTTACGAAAACGCCTAATGTTAGAGGGAGTGAAGCCCCTTGTTTTTCCAAATTGTCCTTCTAGAATCTTGAGTTTCATCTATAAATTGACTTAAACACACCTTGCTGGTATGTGTGCAAAGCTGCCGCTAGCTAGTTACCATTCAGTATTATAGGGTATTTCTAATTACCCAAGACTTCGCTTCCATAGAAAGAGACGATGTCGAATTCATCAAATAGATCTAAAATCCAAGAAAAGGATTAAGAACCGAACGTTTGTGGCAATTGAGACCGAATACAGGATTAAGTAAAACTTAGTGCAGAAATTTGCACCATTCATCATTTGTGTTAGCCGAGGCTGAGGCCCGACTTATCTTAGGGCTGAAAATCATCTTAGAGATAACCGTGAGGATTCCAGTGATCGGAGATCAACTTTCGATCGTTTGGAGTCATTAGGGTTCTAAGCATATTAGAGGAAACTATTTATCAAGTTGTCATTGAAGAGTTTGTGTTTTAGAGATTGGTCATTCGACGATTATGTGAACGAGATGAAACTAGATCAAGACCGACATTTTCACTTAAGAGGAGTTAATAGATACATTATTGAGCAGAACAATCTATTTGGAAATCGGAATTTTACACATGTAAGAGATGATCGGCACCCCTTCAGTAGTTTATGCCTTGAGTAAATGTCAAGGGTGAGTTCATAGCAAATTTCAGGGTGTGACAATTACTATATGCCAAGCTAAAAGTGACATAAATAGTAATATTGTATCTAATTGGGACTATAGTGCGAGAAGCAACTTAATTCTATGTTGGAGCCATGCTAGAGTTGCCACTACTGTTGTATATAGATATACTAATACGAGCTATTAAGAAACATAGCACCGCACACAAAGTGAAACCCTTTCTTTTGTTTTTTTAAAAAAATATGGAATCAAGCTAGAATCAACACCATCTTTATAAGTTAAAAATTAATAAAATAAAATAAAAACCTACACTGGGTAAGATACCAAAAATAAATAAATAAAAAAATACCAAACACTGAGTGAAGCCTATTGGAGCTAAGCCAAAATTAACAAATCATTACTGGCATGTTTACTAATCCGGAATTGAATTAGGAGGAATTGAATTCAAGAGGAATTGAATTCAAGAGGAATTGGATTAAGGAGAATTAAATTCCGAATTCCTATGAAGTTGTTTACTAAATCATATGGATTGAGGAGAATTAGATTCCGGATTCCTAATGAAGTTGTTTACTAAACCATATGGAATTGAGGTAAGAGTGGTGCTAATTACTAAAATGTCCTTGTTGTTGTTGGGTTGAAGTAGATGTCAAATTTGAATTATATAGTTAAGCCTTTGGTAGTTAAGCTTTTGGTATTATTATTGTTTTTTCGTTTTAATTTGAAACCCAATTAACACTTTTCTCATTAATTTGAAGTAGCAATAGCTCATATCAAAAAGTCATGTTCCTATTTTCTTTTCTCCTCGTATAGTCGATTATGCATGTCCATATCTCATATGTGAAGTTTTGCCTAAAGCAAAAGTTCTCTAATAGATAGGAAAAAGATGGGCTAAAATCTATATACAAAAAATTCCGATAAGAACTAATAAATTTGAACGGCTTATAAATAATTATCAACTTCTCAATAGCAAATTCTCCAAGCATAATATGCAAATCTTTTACATCACATTAGAAATATATCATAATACATCATGTGGGAACATATCGATCAATACAACATCATGTTGTCAACAAAATGGTCATAATCTCTACAAAATAGTCATAATCTACCTAAAAGTTTCATAATCTCAACAAAAGTATCATAGTATCTTCAAAAGATTCATGAGCTCAACAAAATGGTCATGATTTGTTCTCAAAAGTATGCTGCCAGCAAAAGATCTATTTGCAAAAAACTATCTTCACTCCCCAAAAGATATGCCAGATTGCTCCAAAGTTTGCAACAAAGTAGTTACATATTCTCTTTTTGATTCATAATGCATGGTGAAAAAAACTCTTAGCAAATCATGTTCTTTGGCCAAAACGTTTGTCACTTTAAACAATTGCAAGGATGTCAAAAATTCCATTTTGCTCAACTCACCATGAAGTTTCTCTTGCAATTCAGTCAAATTTATTTCTATTGAGAGAACATGAACTAGACCATCAAGCTTAGGTCCCACTCCAGCTATAGCTTGTGGCATAGAAGAAAATTGCTTAGTCATCTCATCCACAACTTTTGGCCTCTTATTGCGACTATTATTAGCAACACTTGATGTACTATGTGTAGGCCTTTGTTGTTGGGTATTTGGTTGTGCAAAGGAAGCATCAAAATCATCAAGCCCCTCAAATGGTGACCCTGAATCAACATTCATGATCACATTTTCAACAAAATCATCATCCTCACCTTTATTGTGATTCATAGTTGCATCTTCATGCCTAACTTCTTCATCGCCATCCGCATTTCCAACATTTGCACCTACATCATGATCTTTTCCATATATCTCTCCCAAGAGATAGTAGTGTGGAAATGGCTTATCGTACAAACCACTTGCCTCTTTTTTAGACTACACATACAATGAAAACATATAAGTAAGCATTCCAAAGACATGTAATACAATTGTACATGATAAAAAAATTTCAACAAATAAGTTTTTAGTTGCTGTAGCTACAGCGCAATGAGGCTCACCCTTAATAGGTAAGGCACAAAAAGTATCATACAAAATATAAGCATCATATATAGATTTTATGAAGAGGGAATTAGATGTACCTTCACCCACTCGTCATATACACTTTTCTCACATACCAACATCATTTTCTCTTCATTCCATCCAAAGCCACTTGGAGATAACATCTCAGTTAAGGCAAAATATTTTAACTTCAATGTCTTGACTCGTGATTCAATATGAGGAGACGCCTTTAATCCACAACCGGGAATTTTGGCTTCCAACATACATTCTAACTTGCCCAAGTAACCATTCTTAAAACCAGTGTCAGCTCGCCACGTCGTGTCATGATATAATTCCTTCAATGACTCCATCAGTGCTGCATCCTCACTGGCTGTCCAAAAATGTTTTTGTTGGGGCCTTCCTCATTTCAAATTAGACCTACACTCCATGCTACATTAGCAACAAACATAAGTATGAAACCCAGCTAAGATTATATATTCCCTTCCTTTAATAAAATTGTCAATCAAACCAGAATCAAAGTATCTAAACATTCCCTAGTACCATGTTAAACTAATGAAATGTAAATCACCATACAAAGATTAAAAAAGAGAAACAATGCTTTAATTAAAAGAAACATTCCAAACTTTATTACAAAAACATTGAGACATACAAATAATGTCTATGTCTTTATCACATTACACGCACATTAAAAATAAAGAAAACATAACTAGTTGCATTAACTTATTAAGATTCCCTAGCTTCCCTAGCTTCCCTAGCTGCTCTCCAAGTGTTAAACATTTCTAGAGCAAGGTTTTGCCTCCATGTAGTCCACTCATCTGAGGACTCAACAACGGTAATGTAGTTATTCGCCTCTAAATTTCCATCTTGCAATTGAGTGTTCATATTATCTTCCATAGGATCTACAAGCATCTCTCTTCTTATAAAATTATGGAGCATACAACACGCTGAAATTATACGGCGTTGTGTTGTAATGTCATAAAATGATGGACTCCTAAGAATTGTCCACCGCATTTTTAATAGTCCAAAACACCTTTCAATGACATTCCTAGCGCTTGAATGTTTCATATTAAAAAGCTCCGCCAGTGTTGTAGGTCGGTATCCATCTCTCCAATCGTTGAGATGATATCGTTGTCCTCTAAAAGGTGCAAGAAAACCTTTTCCATTTGTGTAGCCACCATAAACTAAATAGTAATAACCTATTGTTAAAGAAGAAATTCAAATGTTATATTTTTATTTTTCTCATAATTTAAATGATAAGAAGTTCAATTTACTTAATAAATTTTTTGAATGTTACCGTTAGGGACTTTCAATCCATTTCTCCTAGTCACAGCATCTCTAAGGACTCGCCCATCGTGTGCGGAACCCTCCCATCCGGGAAAAACATATATAAACTGCATGTCCGGAGAGCATACTCCAAAAACATTTGTTGCTATTTCATTTTTCCTCGTTCTATACCTTGGTTTATCCAATTCTGGTACACGCACCTTAATATAGGTTCCATCTAGTGCTCCTAAGCAATTCTACATTATAATAGACAACTAAATTAATAATGTGTTAAAATATAAAAAAAAACTTTTAATAAAAATTGTAATAATGCAACAAAATTACACACCTTAAACCACTTCCACTTTGGGTCCGTTGAGTTCTCAAGGATAGGCTCGGGTGTTTTCCAAAAATCCTTTTGGCATCGAATCATTGCTTTCAAACACTCATGAAAATATTTACTAATTGTTCGACCGGACCTACTAAAGTTGTACTTGATTGTGCGATTCTTAATATGGTGTGCAAGAATATGTAAAAACATTGCAATCATCTCCTCTACAGACACATTTCGAGTCAGTCGTAGTTGTCCTCTAGTGACAAGAATTTGACATAATTTATGAAATGATTGTCTATCCATCCGTAGTTGGGCAATACATGTCACATCACTCGCATAAATTAGGCCATATAGGTAATCTAATTGCTTATAGACTCTTATAACTGATCGTGAGGGACTTCTAAGGTGTTTTTGGAAACGAAACCAAGCATAGAAATAAGCAGCAGCACACGCAACAAATATGGTTCGAAGGTAGACAATCAATGCATTTAATGTAGCATGTAATTTCTTCTTTGTGGACAAACTTAGACGAGCCATTTGTCTACATCACATAACAAGAGAAAAAAATATCATTAAGGACATCAATTGCCAAGTAAAATAATAAAGAAAAAA